CCCCCAGCCTCAACTTTGTATTAGTGAGTATTTACGATACTTTTTAAATTCGTCCTCAGAGTACAGTGGAAACGAGTATGGAAAATTTTTCAAGAACCTTGTAGCTCCTAAAAACATTTAAGAAAAAAAATTGTTTAAATCTAGAGAAATAGATATAATTTAGGAGAATTGCTCCATGAAAAAGTATTCCAAAGGCAGGGAGAGAAAGGTGGTAAAAACAGGGTGTTTGTTTTTAATTTCAGAGTTTGGAGCTCTGCCACGGGCTCACCTTGCTGTGTACACAGCTCCCGATCACCTAGAGAAGTCGTGTAAATAATGAAAGGGTACACATTGCATAACAAATGGCAGCTTTCCTGTTCCGAAGAGGTCGCATGGTTACCTCTTAAACATGCTTCCCTGTCCAGTGGTAATAACTTCAGCCCCTGTTCCACCTTTTAAAAGCCCTACTTAATAACCCCTAAACAGGTTAGCTCCACTTGTTTCGAAGTATTATGTGCATAATAAGCTCAGATTTGGGCCTTAAGTACAATTAATTATATGCTCTGTGCACACATCAGAATGTCTGTTAGCAGTCTGAATAGCCTGTTCCTAAATCATACCATCCTTATGCATGCTTAATTGTTCAAGTAAGGATGGAGCGAATCAGTTTGGGAATTTTTAGGTTCTGTGCTTCACTGCCTGCTCAGCACCTCCACTTTTTTAAAAAGCCACTTCACAGGCTGTTACCAACTTCTCCAGAGAGTAGATTGGGACTGAAAGGAGGCGAAGGTTGGTACTCAAGTCAATCAGTTCTGCTACTTTCTGGAAGGTTTAGCAAAATAGGTGAAAACTATTGGCCAACTTTAGTTTTGAGGATATCCTGTGGATTTCAAGCATTCATGTAGTTTCTTTTTATCTTAACTCAGAGACCAGAAAGCCAGCCACACCATTCACTGGACTAAACAAATCTGAAACTAAACTCATTCTTCATTCACTGCCTTCTGAGTGTTCTTTAGGAGACACTCTGCTCTGCACTTATTTAGTAAGCCTGGGATTGGCAGAAGCAAAAGTCTATTTTCAAGCCATACCTATTAAAAATAATAAGCACTGCTGAAAATATTAATCACTTTCCTCTGAAAATTGTTCAAAAAGGAACAAAGTATGCTAATTAAGGCCATACAAAGGCTAAGGAGGACCTCAATAATACAATCACTTTGCCACTCTAAGCTCATCAGCAATGTCCATTTGCCTCTCCCCCCAAATATGCATAGATGTGACATTGTAGCCATTGTGTGACCACCAACTGCATTTAAAGTATCGCACAAATCATAGAGATGTTTCCCAAACTAGAGGACAGCAAAATCACTATGTCAAAATCTGAGTTTTCTGTGAATAAATAGTATGCTATATTTACAAAAGATAGGCTGAATGATCGAACTGTTAATATTGAGTGCTGCAGCTGATTGACAGTTTTGCTTATGGCCAAAAATGCATCACCATTTGAAAATGCAATTGGCTACTAGACAAACATACGTTGGCCCATATTTGTTCTTTCTGAATTTTTCAACATCATTTGTATAATATAGCTACTGTATGCAAGCCTAAGGTACCCTGTCCAGTAACATATGAGCCATCTCGCTATGCATCCAAATATTCAATTAACAGCCTTAATTGCTTTGAGACTCTGTGCTTCAGATTTCTGCTAATTAACAGCACCTTAAGACCTTCTCTTCTCAGGTCCCTGTACTATATTATCACCAAAGATGGAATTTCTATTTCTAGTTATTATAAGGTATCTGTCACCATAAAACCTAAACACACAGATCAAAGATACAGGCCAATTCTTTGATTTACAAAATAGAACAAGCTCATTTAAATCCAATATCAGAGAATCTAAAAATAGTCATGCTCTATATTGTGAACGTAAATACTCCACAAATCCCTCTATATGATTTTTAATCCCTTTCATCTAATACTGTATTCAATACCTTAAATTAATTTTATATTGCTCACTTTTAGGGTTTGCATAACTAAGGTCACCTGTATCAGTGGAACAATTTATTAAAACTAAAATCTATATAACTAATTACTGTTTGATACTAAGAGAATATAAACAGAAATACCTAAAAGTAACAAACTCATCTGTGTGTCAAAGGAACAGGGAAACTAAGAATGCTTCACAGCACCCCATACCCACATAGCTCTCTCCTCCCAGTCTTTTCTCACTGTTTGCCTGCCTTACAAAGACTTTCTTATTGCATTGGTAAGTTTGGACCCTAGAGAAATCATAAACAATTATCACCTTCTTCTTGTGTGCACCTTATGCTCTGGAACACCTCAAGGGTACAGCTAATACATACATGTCAAGTGGCTTCTGTCCAGATTGTAATTCGTGGACATCAATAATGGTAGATTGTGTTCCTTCATGTGCATTGCTGTGCAACAGATTCCTGGGAGACCCAAAAAGGAATAAAACACTGTTTTTGCCCTCGAGGAAGTCACAGTTCTCAGGGAGTGGGAGGAGGAAATAATTAAGTGTAATTCAAAGCAACATGAAATATGTTAAATAGAAATGCAAGTACCACTACATCTAAGGAAGGTGTGATTCATACTGAAGGGAACGATCCAAGAAGCTTTCCTGGAAAAGATAGAATTTGAGGCAAACTAAAAAAGCTGAATGGGATTTGGGTGGACAGCATGTGAGCAAATAGCCCTGCAGGCATGAGCATTGATGCTGAATCATGGAAGTACTTCTTGTGCAGCCATCCTCTCCTTCAAATACCTTCTGTGACCTGCCAAAACCAATTCAGATACACTAAAAATGTGTGCTTCAATAGGCTTATGTCTGAAGTAAGACACTTCTGGTTATTTAGTGTTGCACTCTCTTTGTCCTCACGTGGATTTTCCACCTCTCTCCCCTGGGTGATGG